TTTCCCTTAATCTCTTATTTGTGTGTTGTGTGATTGGCTTGTTTATTGGATAACTGTGGAAGGAGAAATTGTTTGGAGCGACTAATTTCCCAACAAGGCAGGCGAATGAGGGTTGGTGGGCCTTGGCATGCACAGGTGGGAGATGGTGGGCGTGGTTGCGCGCAGGGGGTGGTGGGACATTCGCTCATGTCATTGGCCATGCCACTAGCACACAATAGATGCCACATGCCAACGCCTCCTCACCCATCACTTGCGCACAGTGCGTAGCACTCATCGGTTGTGTGTAGCACACATCGCTCATCATGCTTTGACCATCACAAATGACTTCATAGGAATGTTATTAGGACGAATTAAGAATATTATTAGGATATTAAGGGTATATTAGTAATTAGTCAGGGAAGGTTCTAGAGGGTTTGATTATAAATAGAGTGAGCGAGAAGGATTAAGGCAAGCAATCATTTAATTGGTTTAGACTTCCGTACAAATACTTAAGAGAGGGGAGGGGGTCCAAGTACCCTTGAATCACATGAGAGTCATTATGTTGAACTATCTTTTATATTTCAATATATTTCTAGTTGTTCGGGTTCTATTAATTTGGTATCAAAGCAAATTCGATTTTGGCCATGGGATGGAGGTTGAAAAGATCTTGAAGATTCTTCGTGAAGAGATGGGGCAATGGTAGAATGAATTGAAGAGTGAAGTAGCAGTTATACTATTGAGACACTACAGAGAAACGCTAAAATAATGTTACACTACAGAGAAGCACATGAAATCGAAGAAAGTACACTAGCAAATCCAAAAATATTCGTGAGGGAATCAGCCATCTTAAGTGGTAATAAATTGAAACTACTAAAGTGAGGGAATACAAAGAGATTATTGACGACACAAAAATGTAAGTATTATCATATTCGACATATGTTGAACAAAAGCAAAAAGAATAAGGAGTTGTTCAAGATAAAACATAAAAGCACTATTGGAGAATAGAGGAACGGGTTGAGGGAGACAAATTAAGACCTTTTGAGAAAATTGTCTCCTCCTTCATCCTCTTCGAGTCTTCACCTTCCACCATAAAATCGACAATGACCATTAATCTATGTACAAGAATCCTTCCTTCGTTGTGGCACACTTCTTCCCCATCTGCTCTCGTGAGGTCTTCAAATTCCGTGGACTACGACACCCCTCAATCGTAACCGTTCCCTCTCCGATGTGTTTCCCATAATTGTCCCAACTTTTGATCTTCTCCACCCTTTTTTCTCCACTTCTTTTGCTTTCGTATGAGCTTTTTCTCTCTCAACTAGTTTCTCTATTCTCGAATAGTGCTTTCTTGTTTTATATTGAACAACTCATTATTCTTTTTGCTTTTGTTCAACATATGTCAAATCTGATGATACTTACATTTTTTGCTCTTTCAATCTCTTCATACTCCCTCAATTTAGTAGTTCGCAATTTCTAACCATAACCACTTAAGATGTTTGATTCCCTCACGAATTTCCTTATTTCCGAATTTGTTGGTGTATTCTCTGATTTCATTTACTTTCTCTAAACTGTAGCATTCATTGTCTCTTCAATTGGCTTAACCTCGACCCTTCTTATAGACATATGTCTCGATACTATAGTTGCTACTTCACTCTTCAATTTATTGATCAATTCATTTTCCATGCATTACTCTATCTCTTCACGAAAAATCTTCAAGATCTTTTCAACCTCCTTCTCATAGCCCAAATCTTTCCATTGCTGGCTGCATACCGTCCAGCACATGATGTCCATGCCTGCATCGACACTTGTGATAACCTCACAATTCACCTTGCTACCACCCTTGCTTGCTAGGCGCCAGACACTTGCTTCTACCATGCATCATTCACCTCCACACTAACCCTAACGCTACTGGATGCCACCCCTTGTATTAAGGACAACGGTACCTCACGTATCCCAATTTTCTCTATAATAATTTGATATTGTCCGCTTTAGGCATAACCTTCACGACTTTGTTTTTTGTTTTAGCCAAAATAGCTCATAGTAATGAAGATAATTGTCCTCTCAACACCTTGCGCATGATTTTTTTTCTTCTCCTTGATCTAGTTTTTGTAAGATATTTTCATGTTAGTTAGTCTTGGAAAGACATTTTCCAATTAATTTTATCTAGGAAACTATTTATATATATATATATATCTTTAAGATTATATATTTATTCCTTTTTAGCTAGAATTTCCTTTTTTTATTTTCCTTTCTAACAGGATTTGTGAAGACTATCTAAAGCTCATTCATGAACTTGAGTAACAACTTCGATAATGAAATTTTAGTCATTTAGATAATTTTATTGAGAATATTGAACTTCACCCCTATGTAATTATTGTGCATATAAGCTTATATTGCATGCCTTCAAAACATTTAAACTTTATTGGTCATCAAAATTATAGAGTGTTTTGACATTATAGAGGATGCTTCGATCTAGCTTACTTCTAAGTTTTCACTTAAGAATAATTTGTATCTAACTTATCATTTTAGTAATCAAATTGATCGTAGAATTTTAGTGTTTTGTATATTACGAGTTCCTTTGCCAATTCACTAAAGTTTGTGTATTACTAAGCTGGTATTTTAACCTATAATAAATTAAGAGATAAAAATTAAAATTAAAACCTTTAAAATATTAAAAACAAAAACTTGAAAATTGTTGCCTAAAAATTATCTCCAACTCACTTTTCATCAACTTAAATTAATGACAAAAAAGAGAACTTGGCGAAGGACCGAGTCAGATCGTTAATCTAAAATGATGCATTACACTAACAAATTGTTCATTGTTTCTATCAAAGAGTTAATTCTTAGATATTTTGTCTTTTCCTCTAATGCCCTTTTGAAAACATCAAGATTATGAAACAAAACAACCAATGTTCTTGTTTATGATTTCTAGAAAAGATAAAATATAGCCATGCTTGGCTTTTGGGGCTTTCCTTTTACATTATGTATTTCTCAATTTTTTCTTTTAATTTTTTAATTGCCATTCACTATGTATGGAATGTAATTATGGATATATATTTAGTTTAGATTAAAATTTTATTTTTGATTATAAACTTTGTTTTAGTCTTAGAAATGTTAAAAGGTACATTTTTGTTCGTGGTTGTCATGTGACTCCAACATATATACATCTCCATAATATATACTAGCACACCAAATTTATATCATCATCCATATCTATTAAATAATTGACGGTAGGATAATGATAATGATTAAAATGATTGTTATTTTAAGTTCTTAAAATTACAATATATTTTAAAATTTTGGATGACCCCTGAATAATTGAATAATTAAGTTATGCTCATGTGGTCGTCCTCTTAATTATTATTCCTTTAGTTATGAATAAAATTGTTAAAATGTACATTTTTTTTATTGTTATCTATTTTTGCTTTTTAATATCAACTTAATATCAAATTATGTGACTCCAATAACGTCTCCATATACTAATAGACAAATTAGAACTCGTGTCATCCATATATGTTAAATTATTGAGGATAGAATAATTATAATGATTTTTTTTTTAAGTTCTTGAAACTAAAATATATTTTGAAAGTTAAGAAACAAATTCATATTTAAACTTTTAATTTAAGTTTAAATTATTATTTTGATTCTTGAATTTTCAATGTGTATTTTATTTTAGTTTCTAAAATTACCTATACTTTGATTTAGTCTAACAACCTCTTAGGACGATGTGCATCTCGAATATTTTCATAATAATATGATATAGTATAATTTGGATTGATGTCGACTTAAATTTACTCTTAGTTTCACCTAAAAAAATTGTATAAAAGAAATACTTCCATTATTCATATACTTCTTTCTCTAATGGACATGGGACATTATTTGCATTTTACATTCTTAGCAAAGTTTTGGATAAGCCTTATTTTACTTGATGATCAATAAATGTATGCCAGGCATATTTTTGTTAAATGATTAAAAAAATGAAGTCAATAATTTATTTTATTTTATTTTTATTTTTATGGAAATCTAAAGACTAAATAAACACATTTCAAATGCAAGATATCAAAACAATATTTCTAAGTTCAACATTTAATAAGTAGTACAGGGCAAGTATTAAATATTCATCATATTTTTAATAGCGGGTTGGTTACACCTAGAACCGAAATGAAAATCGAGGGTTTCGTAGTTTAAAAATGCCGAATCTCGTCTCAATCATCATTTGTCAGGACTATTCGGAGTAAGTTCCTTGGCTTGGACATGCAGGAACGAAATTTTTATATGTTTCATATAGGTTCAATACATGGTCATGGTATTAATAAGGTTAAAATACTATTTGGTCATGTACTTTCAGCTTTGATTCATTTGGATCCTTATACTTTTAATTTTAACTTTAATTACTTTTAAAATGTTCATGTTTTGATCCATATACTTTTAAAAAGCGACCATTTTAGTCTTATTTTCAAAATTGTAACACAAATTCTATACCTAACGAAAACCTTCTAATATAAAGTCATGGTTAACATCTCAAGAAATATATTGAGTACTGTAGTAATATAAAAAAAATGAGATTAAAAATAAAATTTAGAAACAATGATAATTTTTTAAAAGTTATTTTGAGGGTAGAAGGACAAAAATAAACAAAAGTTGAAGCTTATAGAAAACCACAATAACTAAAATGAATGAAAACTAAAATTACAGTAGTATTTTAATCTATTAATAACAAAAGTTTTCAATTCATTCAATACTTTATCGATATTTCCATAAAATCGAGACATCGACTTATTTCTCGTCCTCGGTGGCAGCAACTAAACGACAAATTTTGTTGCACGCGGAGGGCTGCCGGCCTTAGGCGGCGGTGTGAGGATAAAAGAAAGTTAAATTGTAGCAAAATCGGATGGAAGACAACAACTTTAATTTGCTGCATTGCTCTTCACTTATATATATTTGTGTGCCTCTCCCACTCTTCTTCTCAATCTCTCTATTTTGTGTCTCTGTGTGAGTGACAGAGTTTATTGGAGGTAATTTCAATGGCGTCCAAACGAGGCAAGTTCCAAATATTGGCGAGGCCAGTCACAATTTTGGGGCATGTGGTGGCCATGGCGGTGGCAGCTCTCATTCTTGCTTGGATCCTCCATTTTAGAGAAGGGGTTGCTCTCAAATCAGCCAACAAGCTCAAAATTCTAAATGTCAGTCTCGCTCTTCATTTTCTTCTCTCGAGAAAAATATCAATTTTTATCCTAAACTTAGCCACGTGTATTGATGTATTCTTTATATATTTTGATAAGTATTGTAATCTTTATATTTGCCTAAGTGTTTGCCATTTCTACCTTTTGATATTTTTTGTTTCAAAAGTCAATGAAAAAAAGTGTGAGGTAAAAAGTGTTAGGCAGTTGGGGTGGGATTACTTGAAGTATGCGCAAGCTGACTCGAATATTTATAGATATATAAAAAAAGAGTTATTGGAAAAAGGTATTCTCATCGAATTAGAAATATGTATCTAAATGATAGAGTGTGTTAAAATTTATGATGTTTGGTAGAATTGTTTTTTTTTTTAATACATCAACCTGAAGGGTGGTGTGGATTCAAATCCACGACCTCTAAATCGAAAATAGTTGCCTCCACCAATTGAGTTAAGTTTCTATTGCAAGTTTGATAGAGTTATTTAATGGTCAAGTTTGTATATTGATCTAACTTAATTAGTATGAAGCTTTGATTTTATTAAGATGAGTGATGCTTTGAATTTCGGAGTAAAAATTGCTAACATTTATTTAAGTTAGAATCTAATCTCTTCCTCACTGCCATTATATTTTATTGTGAAAGGCTGCGGTTTCTTCTCTAAAGGTTTTGACGAATTTTTTTTTTTTCTTTTGTATCTTCTTTGTTTTTCAGCTGCATGTGGTTTTGATGGTGGTTGGATTCATCTTGTTTGGGGGAGAAGGTATTGGCAAAAGGCATATTTTAATCTAGACTTGTTTTTATCATTAAAATGTGGAAATGAAAACAAAAATTTTAAGTGGCCATTACAAAAATAGCACAAAAAATAGTATTTATATATCTCTCTCTCTCATTATGTTTAAAATTTTACAAAAATGCAATGAACCAATAAAAAGTATCCTTTGTGACCTTTCTTGAAAAAAAAAAGTAATGATATTATTGTAAATACATATTTATTTTTGCCCTTTAGTGTAATTTTCATTAAAAGAAAATTGTTAGAGAGTTGATGGCAAGTAATTACTATTAATTATTTATATCAACATATATGTAAATTAACGATATAAATGAATGATTAACTCACCTTAGTTACTTTTATCACTCAATTAGCTACTAAATTTTATCTTAAAAAATCTATTAAATGAGTATTTTATTAAGATATTTTAAGAAATGTGGTGGATAGTTTAACTAATATGCATAATTAAAAAAAAAAAGAGAATATAATAAACGACCCTATAAAATTTTTTAATTTATAGTTTAAAAGAATTAATTTTTGTCGGTCTTAAAATACCGTTCTACTCTCTATACTCTTTTTTTTTTTTTACTTAGACATTACATTTTGAGAAGTAATTCTTTATATATAAAATAACAAGAGAAAAAAAACGTTATATAAGACCGAATAATCAATATACTTTTTAAGTATCATTTTGGGAAAAAAGAAATCATCAATCAAGAAAGTTGATTAAATGTCCCTTTTTCATTCATGTAATTTAATTACTCTTGTGATATATATATTCATATGTATACAAATGATAAAATTAAACATGGTTTTGGTTTGTTTTCTTGGAGCAGCTATAATGGCATACAAGTCATTGCCAGGAAAAAAATATTACAGAAAATTGGTGCATTTGGTATTGCATATAACAGCACTAGCTTGTGGAATTTTTGGGGTTTGCTTGGCTTTCAAGTTCCACCATGACACTCACCTTTCAGATCTTCTTTCCTTGCATTCTTGGTTTGGTTTGATCACCATTTCCTTGTATGCTCTTCAGGTTTGTCCCTCTCCCTCCCTAAAATTATAGGTCTGATCCCTCGACTTTTTAAAGGTTAGGTTTATTTAGTCCACGTACTTAAAACGATCTTGGTTAAGTTATAAATTTAGTCTTTCCGAGTTTAGGGTGTAGTTTCAATTTGGTCATAGTACTTTTAAAACTTTAGTCTTATTGGTTTGAGATTTGTTTCAATTTGATGCTTATGATTTAAAAGTTTCGTTTTAGTCTCTATGGTTTAGTCAAACTTTATAAATTGTAAAAATGGAAGGATACATGTGGGTGTTTTTTTTAGGTAAAATGCATTTTAGAGACCGATCTGTAAGGTTTAGCAAAATTGTAACAAAATAATCCAAACTATGGGCTGTAGTCCCTATCCGTTTGAGCTTTTTTTCAACTTGTTCCTTATAATTTTAAAAGTTTCATTTTGGTCTCTATGATTTAGTCAAACTTTAACCAATCGTGTCTTTATCATAAACAATGTTTGGAATTTTTTCTTTTACATGACAATGAACTCACGTTAGGGTTTAGGGCTAAGTGGAAATATAAGGATACAAGTGGGTGTTTTTTCAGGGTAAAACACAATTTAGAGATTGATTTGTAAGGTTTAACCAAATTTAAGGATCTATAAATTCAAACTTTTAAAACCATGCGGACCAAAATGAAACAAACCATGGAGGCTATACATGGTTCAAATCTATATAACAAATCTCTAAAGCTTTCAAAATTGTGTCTAAATTTCTAATCGACTCTTGAACTTCACCACGCAATATTATTAAAGTAGAATAATTCGGGTGAAGGGTAATTAAATAATTTTTGTTACAATCTTTGAAAATTATTTGCAGTGGGTATTTGGTTTCTTTGCCTACTTCTTCCCTGGGGCTGAATCAAGGAGGAGAGCAAGCATAATGCCATGGCACATTTACTTTGGAATATTCATCTTCTTGATGGCAATTTGCACTGCAGAATTAGGGTTACTCCAAAGGTTCAATACTCTCATTTTGGGGCACTCCCAAGAGGGCCTTATTGTCAATTTCACTGGCCTCCTCCTCCTTCTATATGCTGCCACTGTTGTCCTCACTGTCATTCTTCCACCCCTTTATTGATATTGCCCTTTTTGGGAAATTTTAATTACATAATTTCATTCATAAGTTTTAGTAGAGTTCTTGTTATTGGTGAATTTGGAACCATATAAGCTAGCTAGTTACAAAACTATATTGTTTTGTGGGATTTGATTCTATATCTTATGTTCGATGTTACAACGATTGTCTTGCTTTTCTTGAATTATAACTTTGGTCTTTCTAAACTTTTAAGATTGCTTACGTCTATTTAGTTTCTATGATTTAAATATTTTACTAGATTTTTAGTACTTTATGTCTAACTATTTAGTCTATATACTTTTAAAAAGTTTCTAATAATTAGTCCTTTCATTTTTTATCTAATAAAGATGATGACTGCATTATATTTGGGAATTACACTTGAAATGATAAACCCACCACGTGATTCCTAAATAATACAACATTAATATGTCAGGTAAGTGTTTAATGAATTAATAAAGAAAAAAACAAAAAAGTACAGAGCGAGTGAGACAAATTAAAAAGTTGAAAGTTTACGAACTTATATGGACTAAATACAAACATAACCCTACAAAATGTAATCACATATTAATGCCCCAACTTGCATAATGTGCATGCGTTTAGGGATGATCATGCACAATAGTTAAGTGAATACATACTAACTTGAGCTCAACTGATTAAGATATATATTATTGATCAAAAGGTCGAGATTTTCGAATACTCATCCCTACACATTATTAAATTTAAAATAAATAAAGAATAATTCGAAAAGTGTTTTTCGAGCTACACTATTGATTTTACATATTTCAAAACCAACACCAACCTATAGTGGAGCATATTTTTTAGTACAAAAAGTGGGTGGAGATTCAAACTTATAATTTTTTAGTCAGTTCAGATACCAATTATCACTTAGTTAAGTTGATGATAGCCCTAATTGAGCATTTGCTTTTCATTGTTGTGGATAGTTTAGGAGGCACTTACGATGTTTGATATCCATGTAGATCCTTACCAACACAACCTAGCATGGACGTTCTCAATGTTAACGAGTAGTTAAGGATACGTTTGGTAACGTTCACATTTCTTATTTTTCATGTCTAATATTATTACGAAATATAAATATTTGACAACTATTTATGTTTCTTATTTCTCATTTTTTAGAAACATTCTAAAAAATTATATAGAATTTTTGGAAACAACAAAAACAGTTTCTTGTTCTCAGTTTAAATTTGTTCCAAAACATAAATAAAAATATTGTTATGTCATTCATGAATCTGTGGGTGTTGGGGGCCCTGCAATTATATTTTTCTTTGTTAAAAATGAGAAACATAAACAAAAACGGGAATGTTACTAAACGAATCCTAAAGTTACTAGGTGAGGCTAGGAAGTCGAATTTGAGGTCAAAAGTGTTACAAATGAGGCTTGTAGCCCAAGTGAAATAGTAGATTTAGTGATGGACCCTAGCTCAACCAAGCTTAGGTGAGACAGAGCGAGTCGTCGTACTTAACTAGTTGAGAAAGTCGTGATTTGATTGCGCGAGATGAGACGTTAATGCCCAAAACCAAATAATGTGTGTTGATATGCCTTTTTATCATACTGAAACTCTACCAAATTTAGATTTTATATATATAGAGATCACTTGAGTTTCAACTAAAATAAGAAGAGAGATGCTGCAGTGAATAGCCACACTTTCTACCACCAGAGATATTGGTTTGTTACTTTTCATAAGTATGTACCGGATATATAAACAGTATTTAGGTGCTTACCGATCAACACCTATCTTTATGTTGACCTTCAACAAAAATATGACAGTTTTTTAGTTTTTCAAATATTTTTCTACCTTTCTCTCTTATACTTGTCATGGCCAACAAAAGATGGCACTCAATTGCCCTCGACCTTGCATCATCAAGTCGACGTTCAATTTACTTTTTCAAGTCAGAACTCTTAGTCGGACTACTGACGAGATCGATTTTTTGTTTGAGATCAAAGAGAAAAAGAGAGGAACCACCGTCGATTTTTTCCTTTTTTTTTTTTTTTTTGACTAAGAAATATGTTGTATGTTGTAATTATTGGGAAGGCAATCCCAGTTTTAGTGTCAACAAACCCAGCCCATACGGCCCAACCACCGCTACGTGTAATTTTGCTTTTAAACCTTCTTTAGTAAAGAAAATTGTTGAATCTCGTCACGCAAGTTTATGAATTAAGGGTGTATTTGGTTCGATCTACAAATTTGTTTTACTGAAAACAAAGAATTCGTTAAGACAAAAAAATTTGTATCTCTTGTTTTTTACTACACATGAAAATGCGTTTGGTTGCAAATTTTTTTTAATTTTTTGATAATTAAAACCAATTTGAGAAATTTTAAGAATATTTGTAATGCCCAGGTCCAGGAATCCGGATTCGGTACCTCTTTATCCCGGCATTCCCCTACGATCTGACCGCGCTATCGCCAAACTTTGAAGTTCTTATGATTGAGCCACCGAAAAAGAAGGTGTACCTTGTTGGTATAGGTAGTAACTATCCATTCTTTTAAGCATTTTTCTTACCATGCTTCCATGGTCTCAAGATCTCTCTCATTCGGATGTGGTATCGGTTCATTCATGTACCCATCCTCTCAAGTCGGGTGTCACATGCCCACCAGCTTCCGCCTCGGTTCGTCCCTGAACCACATCGTACTAGGAGAGGTTCTGCTTTGATACCATTTGTAACGCCCCATGCCCAAGTTTCGAACCAGGATTCGAAATTCGGATTCGGCACCTCTTTGCCCCGACATTTCCCTACGACCTAACTATGCCACCGTCAAATTTTGAGCTACTCTAGAAGAGCATAATTAGTTTTATTTTGAAACTGCTTAAAAAAATGATTCATTTAAAATCTGTTTTTTCAAACATTTGTGAAACTCGCCTTTAAAAATATGGAGTATAGCATGTGAGTTGAAATAAAAGGGTCAATCATCCTAATATTTACTTTACTTGTAGCATACCAGAGACAATTCTCTTTAAAAAAAATATAAATTGCAAAATTGAAAGAATTTTGAATGAATTAGCATGAGGAGAAATAGTTCAATTAGAAGATTTAATAAGCCAAAATCTTATTAAATGATAATTTGTCCCAAAGCTCAAATTTAGCTTAAAGCCATTATAAAAAATTATTAATTGACTTATGACCAAGTTCGAATAAGTCATTGAGGGGAGGTTAAGAAACTTTTGCTTGTGAACGTCATTTGTCTTGCTATTGAAGTTGATTCCTTTTTAGTAAAGTTTGTTTTTAGTTTTGATGTTCTCGGATGAATGATCAACGTACTGGAACTACTTGTGCTATTAATGCTTGGAAGAATTCAGTATGACGTTAATAGCTTTAATTACTTGGTAGTAGATCTATATTTTCGTATAGATGGGGATACGATCGACCTATCTATATAGCCTTGAAACTGGATTGAATGCTCTTTGAAGTAACAGAAGTTGATGAGAACATTTGGATGATTCGAAAAGATATCCTGTCTGTTTGACTAGAAGTAATAACATTAGAAACTTCGATGTTGAAAACATTAGGTAGTAGCAGTTGAGTAGAAGTAGGAATTAACCTCCCCTGTTATTTTTGGTGGATAATATCGTATCTTTTCTTTACGATTCATTTTTGCTTAATTTTCTTTCATATGCATGTATGCTTAAATTTAGAAACAAAAAGTATAGTTGATTGGTTATTGTATAGGTAGGTTAACATTTAGAGCAAAATAGCTAGTTTGTTGCAATCTTTGTGGAGACGATCTTTTATATCACTTGCTACAGTCTCGTTTGTGTACACTAACAGTTGCTTAGTCACGATGGCCAAATACCAACCTTGAATTAGCCAGTTATTACCGATAACAACCAAAACTATTTTTGAATAGGAAAATTTAATTCTCCTCCATATTAATATTTTAATTTCTATTCAATATCAGACCAAGCAGGATTAATTAAATGGTCATTTACCTACCAAAAATTCCAAATGGTCCTTTGACCAATATGGTAATTATCAAATTAGACAACCTTAAAGATTGATTTCTCCCAACATAAGATGGAAATGGATGTACATAAATGGCTAATTAACAACCATTTTTGGAAGTTCATAAATTTTGTAAACCCACTCTCTTAATGTTTTTTTTTTTTAATTTCATTAGACTATTTAATTAATATTTTTTATCATTGTCTCTTCACCTACTTCTTTTATTAAGCCATGTCTAAACTCAAATTAGCATTTCAATTTTGATGAAACTTTAACATATTGATTCAACATTCATATATTTGTTTCATCTCACATTAGTTCGAATATATATGAAGAATTAGCATTTCATTAAGGTTATTGAAATTTTTTCATGCAAGTAGTTACTAATAATCACATTATTATTTTATTAATGAATTTTAATGTTTTGAGATTGCTTGAGCTTGATTAAAAAAATTACATAAAAAATGATACTGAAAATTCTTAGATATTAAATAAAAATGGCCCAAATACTAATGACTACGTTATTTATTTAATCAAAAGAAAAAAATCACAAAATTGTTATTTCAAACGTCAAACTATTATACTATTATTATGTGATTCGAACCATTGAAAATCAACTAAATTAGCTAAAGAGGGTACTTAGAGAGTATTTTTAGCAAAAATATTTTTATTATAAACATTTTAACACAAAAAAAAATGCTTGATAACTAATCATTCTTTTGATATTTTATTCTAATACTCTTTAAAATGCTTTAAAATAATTATTCGAGTAAAAGAACACATTATATTAAATTACTTTCTCGCAAATCAATTTAGGGTTTTTTTTTTACTTTTTTTTTTCAAAATATTTTATGTGACTTTCAAATATGAAAATTTTGAGTGAAAATTATTTAGTGCATGCCTGGCCAAATATGTCACTCCACAAATACCCTAAAAAATGGAGTTTCATAAAAATAAATTTAATTTTCAATTTCATTTCAAAAAAAATCCAACCAACCTTATTGATCTCAAGCATACTGCGAACTGAATATAATCAACTTTATTTATAT